GCTCGCAACTGCATAAGGTCATATGAGCGCCAGAAGATTAGAGGTGTTACAAGAGAGTAACAAACATAAAAAAGAAGGAGGGGAGATGGCTTGGTAAATGGTCTGTACATGCAAACGCACATGTCAAAACACACAGATGTACACACACACACACACTCAAACTGACACACACACACACACAGACACACACACTCATACACACAAAGAATTATGAATTAAAGGAAAAAAACATCCCCTGTTTTGTTTTGTACGAGTTGTACAGCACTTGCAACACTGTTAGGTCATATATAAGAGCTGAAGATTAGAGGTGTTAAAAGAGAGTAACAAACACATAAAAGGAGGAGACATAAAGAAGAGACAGATATTTGATAGGAAAGAAGGGTAAGAGATCAAGGGGAAGACCACGCGGAACCTGGAGAAGAGTCACATTAATTGATGTACAGAAAAGTGGGAAGACATGGAATAACATCAAGAAGCTAGTCCAGGATAGAGAAAGGTGGAAAGTGTTTGCTCGTGGCCTATATCCTGACCCAGGGTGAGAAAGGCAATGATGATGATGATGATGATGATGATGTTATCGTCTTCAAAGACCTTTCTCTAGCTGTAGCAGCTCCTCAAGACGCTGTTTCTCCGATGTGTGAACTCCGATACTCGAATCTTTTCGCTTCAGCTCAGTGTCCATTTTGTCAATATCCGACTGCATTTCCTGAAAGACGAGAAAACAACAATTTAATTTAACGTAGAGAAAAAACCCCTCTGCAATTGAGTCAAGGTTCTCCCCCACCCCCACCCCACCCCAACTAGAATCAATTAAATGTTATTTGGATATATTACTGTATTATGTGCATAGATAAAAAAAATAAATAATAAGCACTTTACAACTATTATTACCTCAGGAGACCCTCTGAGAGCACTCAGAAACATTCTTGGCTTCCACGGAAGCATACAGTGCAAGCTGTGGATTTCACGCGCTCAAACACTATCAAACTGACAAGATCGTTCATTGTCTATAGCCGGGTACCCATTTCCACCTGAGTGAAGTGAGGAAAATTTGTGTAAAGTGCCTTTCCCAAGAACACAACTCCGGGCCCCTCACAGCATTCGAACCCACGACCTTACGGTTGCGAGTCCGAGAGCCTAACCACTAGACCACCGACGCCACGAATGAGGCAGACTCAGAAATAAGCAGCAATACACTTTAACGTTAATTTTGACAGCACCCTCACCGCACATGGTAAGGTTGTATAAAAAGTGGAACCTCCCACACTTCCAATACAAACCTCCATCTCTGACAGGATCAAAACCAAGTAGGTGGAAAGATTCGAACTCAAACTCTGCCCTACTCAGCATCTTTCCTGAATGGAAGAGAAATGCCACAGTCAACAGAAAGAAGCGACTCTCCTTACCCGTAACTTTGCCAACATATTCTCGGCTTCATTCGTCATTTGCGGGTGCATTTCCGTGGCCTTCCGTGCTTGTTCACGTCTTGTACAGAGTCAAAGAAAATCTTTTTTTTTTTATAGTAGAGGGTTTTACGGCGCTCGCAACTGCATAAGGTCATATGAGCGCCAAGGGGTGGGTGCCAACAGAGAAGTCTTTACAGGGAATCAGACTTAGACTGCTCAAGTCTCTAGCTTCAACAGCACAAGGTCTGCTTCGACAATCAAGGCACCCCAAAATAGCAGGTCACAAGAGAGTGATAAACATACAAAAGAAGTAGAGGAAAATGACAATAGTAAGGATCAGGAAAGAAAACGCAGCAGTTCCCTGTTGTAGATCAGGCACAGTTATGAGCGTGACAGGAGTCAGCTCATTAACAATTCTACTATGCTTGAACAAGAAATGTCCCCCCTTTGGGAATGCCCTAAAGACACTACAGTCAGTGGCACTGCCCCGGAGGGTAAGAAAATCTTAGAAGGCAGCATGAGAACAACTGTCATAGAGCCAAGTGGGGCGTGCTAGTCAAGCAGTATGGCAATGACAAAACAAAAGATGAAAAATTTATTGATTGCTGAATGAAGAGAAAAAAAAATTCAATAACTTCCAAGTTCAATAATGATACATCTGTGAGATGTTCTGACAAAATGAGTTACTTCTCACAATCCACAAATGGAGATACTGACCAAAAATTGACACTAGGGTCAAATTTGTAGATTTTCCATTGATGTCATATTCTTTATGTACAACATGCCTTATATTATTTCATTCTTATAAATTGTGAAAACTTCACCTATAAGCGTGATGTAGCGATTTCCATAGGGCTCGAATCCGAGAAGTAACTTATTTTGTCGGCACCCTTCACATTTTATAGAAGTTGACAAGGGAGCAAAAGATACAAATAATTGGCTTCCAATTCCAAAAAGTAAATTTGCTGTTGCAGATTCTTTATATACTCAGCTTCAATGTTGCCAAGTTCCCCCGTTGTCTTGTTCAGCTTGCTGAAAATGTACCAGAAGTAGAAATATTTCCTTGGTAAAAACAATTTCTAAGGCATAAGAAAAAATAGAAATATTTACCGTTATAGAGATATTAAGATGAACTGTCACCCCAGCTTGCTAAAGGAGAAGACAATTATCAAAAGTTGCACAAAACAAGTGAATAGTCTAACAATTTTGATTATTGTATAAATTATTTACGAGGTAGAGAAAGTAGCGACATTCCTTATTTAATCTACATGAGAACAAAAAAACCCAACAACAACAACAAAAAAACCCCAAACAAACAGAAAAATCAAAAGTTATGACGGATCATTTCGGAGCTTTCCATCCCATGACAAGACCCACACAGAGTAGTCACATATTTACATCACTGGCGACATGAACGTACTAAAACTATACATCACTGGCGACATGAACGTACAAAAAACTATACATCACTGGCGACATGAACGTACTAGAACTATACATCACTGGCGACATGAACGTACAAAAAACTATACATCACTGGCGACATGAACGTACAAAAAACTATACATCACTGGCGACATGAACGTACAAAAAAACTATACATCACTGGCGACATGAACGTACAAAAAAACTATACATCACTGGCGACATGAAAGTACAAAAAAACTATATATCACTGGCGACATGAACGTACAAAAAAACTATACATCACGGCTGACATGAACGTACAAAAAAAACTATACATCACTGGCGACATGAACGTACAAAAAAACTATACATCACTGTTGACATGAACATACAAAAAAACTATACATCACTGCTGACATGAACATACAAAAAAACTATACATCACTGTTGACATGAAAATACAAAAAAAACTATACAGAACATACAAAAAAATACCTGACACGAACATACAAAAAAACCTCTATACAGAACATACAAAAAAAACCTCTATACAGAACATACAAAAAAACCTCTATACAGAACATACAAAAAAAACCTCTATACAGAACATCCAAAAAAAACCTCTATACAGAACATACAAAAAAACCTCTATACAGAACATCCAAAAAACCCCTATATATCACTGCTGACAAGCACATCCAAAAAAAACCCTATACAGAACATAAAAAAACAACTATACGGAACATAAAAAAACAACTATACGGAACATTAAAAAACCCAACTATACGGAACATAAAAAAACCCAACTATACAGAACATACCAAAAACAAACTATACATCACTGCTGACATGATAATACAAAAAAACCCTATAAATCACTGCTGACATGAACAAACAAAAAAACCCAAAAAAACATTCAAATCTTACCTTATTTCAGCACATAAACAAAATATGCAGACTACAACAGCACTATGAAATGAAATCATTTTTTCTCTTTTCAAACATGTGCCACTGACACGTGCCATTGACATGTGCCACTGACATGTGCCACTGACATGTGCTTCAAACATGTGCCACTGACATGATCGTAAGCTGTGTGAACAAAGCCTTCAGTCAAAAACATTCCCGTCTTACCCGCTCATGCTTAAGTCAGCGGTCAGGCTGCTGCCCGTGCTCTTACGAAGTCCGTTAGCGATGGACGATTTCTTCATGGTGGATCTGCGAGGGCCGTCCACTGACTGGGCAACTGGGAATGGACACACACATTGCACATTACACACAGAGACACACACACAATACACACTACACACAGAGACACACACATTACACACAGAGACACACACATTACACACAGAGACACACACACAATACACATTACACACAGAGACACACACACAATACACATTACACACAGAGACACACACATTACACATTACACACAGAGACACACACATTACACATTACACACAGAGACACACACACAATACACATTACACATTACACACAGAGACACACACATTACACATTACACACAGAGACACACACATTACACATTACACACAGAGACACACACATTACACATAGAGACACACACATTACACATTACACACAGAGACACACACATTACACATAGAGACACATACATTACACACAGAGACACACACATTACACATTACACACAGAGACACACACACAATACACATTACACACAGAGACACACACATTATACATTACACACAGAGACACACACATTACACACAGAGACACACACATTGCACATTACACACAGAGACACACACATTACACATTACACATAGACACACACATTACACATGTTACTGACAGTCAAATTTACGATAATGCTTTTCTTTCTATTACCAGAAAATCTAACTTGCATTCTGGTGCATAATATTTATTAGTTGTTGTTCCTTGCACCCCCCCCCCCCCCAAAAAAAAAGTTAAAAAATTTTCAAACGCGCAAAATGTTCACTGGTGCATGTGGTATAATGGTTCAATTCTTTACCGTTGCAAAAAGATGACAAACTTTCAATTCTGAAATGGAGAAGTTATAATCTTCCTGATCAAGTGTGCCCACTCGGATGCTGCATCCCACTAGGCCCAGGCCGACCCTGTCAGGCAAGTTTGCACAACCTAAACAATCTTAATTCTGTCCACAGAGGTGTCAGGATGTCTCGGTAATCATCTAATTCTACAATCAGAAAAAGATGGAATATGGTTTTGATTGAGTAACAGTATGGTACTGAAGCTGTTCACAAGACAAAAGACAATGAATCTGCTCAAAGAATGGAGAACCATGATCACCGATGTCTGCCGCAGATCTGGCACTGGATGATGATCTGCTCGAAATACTAGTTTTGAGAAATTTCACGACAAAGATTTCGAGTTTCACAACATGTCAAGCTTTTTTTAAATACATTTATTTAAATATCTTGAAAACGACTGCGAATAATTTTATGATTTTGACGGAGCAGATAGAACATGATCTTTCTGACCTCACGATCTTAGTAACTCAAAACGGCCAAAAATGTCAGACAGAACTTTGAAATTCTGAGGCAGTGACTTGACATAATCAATCACATTCATAACTCTCAAGTCTAATTAAGCCACAACTGTTAATGACATGACAGTAAAAGTTTCACCAAAAAAAAGAAAAATTAAACACCTTTGAGAATGACTTTAGGAGAACGACTCCGTGACCTCAGGGATTTCTCCCCAGTGACCTTGAACTGAGCAGGCGATGGTGACCGTGACCGGCAGGAAAAAGTGACTCCGTCTTGGCTCCGACTAGACTTCTGACCTCCCGGGCTGGGTGACCTCAGAGACCGCCTCCAACCCAACACGTCCGGCGTCTCTCCTCCGTGAGGTTCTGAGATTTTCTCAGCTAGGCTCATACTCTTTCTCTGCTGGTCCTTTGCTGGGGTTTTTTCCTATAAAAAGACAGTTATTTTCAGTTAAACAGCATTACACTATTAACACTAGATTCTAGATCTAGATCTAGATCTAGTAAATAAAGTAAATCAAATTGTAATCTACATCAACATTATATGTCTGTGTATCTCTTTTATCTATGCTTCGAACATTCCTTAAATGGAGTATTTATCAAACTCCAATTTCCAAAAAAAAAAGTCAGCTAGATCTAGTAACGTAAACCTAATCTGGAAATTATACACTATAATTCTGCTTTTTTAAAATTTTTTAAAAGGCCTACTAGTCTACAGCCTGTATCCTTCAGCTCTTTTAAAGAACAAAACTATATTAACTCCCACTTCTCTCCTACATGCACGGCAAGTCTGCAGCATGAGAAAACTACACATGCATGACATGATGATTATGATAATTTAATAACATCATAATATCTCATTCTCAGTGCTACGGCCATTAATTAGGACGAGAAATCTTCAAGCATTTTCACATTCTGCCTCTTGATCTCTACTAACTAATAAGCTACTTTTATGAGACTTAAAAATTAAGTGCAAGTTGCATGGTTTAAGCAAGTTAAGACTTAAGAGACTACAATTTGATTATGGGCAATTTAATTCAATAAGGAAAGGGAATCCAGACAATTATTGTGAAAATTACACTTCACTATTAAAGTTCATCAGTCATGAAGGGCATAATATATATAATCTAAATCTAGGCCTAGATCTAGATCTAATCTAGATTTTCTAGATCTAGATCTAGATATCTAGAGGCCTAACTCATAGAGTTTAAAATAGTCTCTAGAAACATACCTACCAGTGATCAGTAGCCTACCAAAACGAGTGTGAAATATGCACCAGATTGTAATTCTCTAGTCTCTAATACATGACTCTACATCTACAGGGGACCAAACAGAGGACTGGACTGGGGCATTGGGACAACAGATGCAAGCGCCAAGCGGCCGGGCGAAAGGCAAATCGAAATGACCCGGCCTACCGAGATCTCGCCTAAACCCCAGCAAAAAGTAAAAGGTAGTTTACGTAGGCTAATCTAGGCCTAGAATCTAGATCTAGAGATCTCTAATATATTATTATGCGGAACAACTTGCCCACAAATCCCAAATCAGAGCAAGATCATATACACTGATGGCATTATTAGGCGTCTGGTCAATTTGAAAAAGCATCCAAAATAATGTGAATGATCAAAGAGATAGCTGAACCTTTCTGCAAGAAATCCACTTACCGCTGAACCTATGAAAACGACAACAGCAAGTCGAAACAGGAAGAACGCTTCTTCACGTTGATAGGGTAACACATTCAGAGTGCTATTGGCCGCTAGTTTCGTACATGAGGTATGATCGTAGAGTCGTCATTATATTAGTTCGCAGGTTACATTTTCTAATAGAACTTTCTCCTCCACGTTGATATCTGGCATAAACGCTTGAAAACGACTAATTTAATTTTATTTTTAAAAAAAAAGACAACAAAACCAAAAAAAAACACCTAACAATCGAAGTTAAAGTTGCACCGTTTACTTTATAGTATTTATAGTAGTTGTTGTAACCCAGTGTGTTGTCACTTTTGCTAAAAATATAATCATAGTAGCGAGTCCTTTACTTTGACTCTTTCATCCTCTGTTGCCGCTGACTTCGATCTACTTGAGCGGCGAGGGAAGATGCAGTTTTCTATGCTATGGTAGGCCAAGGCCAACTCTTCAGCTTTTTTAGTATTAGTAGAAATGTATCCGTCTATCACTCCAAAAAACCCATTTCTTGTTGAAAACATTTCCACAGTCAGTGTGAGGCGGAAACTGTTCTTCAGGTTCAAGCTTCCAGATGATGGAAGTCTTTTTTTTTTTTATAGTAGAGGGTTTTACGGCGCTCGCAACTGCATAAGGTCATATGAGCGCCAAGGGGTGGGTGTCAACAGAGAAGTCTTTACAGGGAATCAAACATAAGACTGTTCACCTCTTTAGCTTCAACAGCACAAGGTCTGCTTCGACTATCAAGGCACCCCAAAAAAGCAGATCACAAGAGA